ATCGTCACCCAATATTTTTCTTAGTCACAACTCTTATTTTCCTTCTTCCTTTCTGTGGACCTTAATTTTGTTTAATTTCTATTATACTGCCCAGTTTAATGTGCTCGTCACTGGAAGCTGCTCTAATCTTCTATGGAAATATTTAGAGTAAAAGTAAAATACTATTTGATTTTGTTCAAAAAATTTTCATTAGCATCACATCAAATGCTGGCAATACAATAGAGCATCCTGGTGGTACTGCCAGCTGCACCACCACACCCACATGTCTCATTTCTGCACTTGGTGTCTTCTCTGAGGATTAGCTGCTCAGTGGGACCCACTCCTTCATCTTGTCTCCCATGGAAGAAGGGGTGCAGTCATTCAGCTTTACGTCATGCTACCAGCTGCTTTTGTTCCTAACAAACATGAGTGAATTTACATATACAACTTCTTGCATTAGCTTAATAGATTTGCCTACGTGGTCCCGTAAATGCCACTGTTCTTTTTCCATACAATTTTTCCAGGAAATAGATTATTTGGATAAAGTTCACATGCAGTGAAATCTGAGAAGGTGAGAGGGAGCAGAGAAAAGACAGAGGGATGAGGAGGCACTTTATGGGTCATAAAAATTAGGAGACCAGCACCTTCTTGAACTACCACCATGCGTGGCCGCTAATTCACACTGCTCACTTGGTGTTCCACCCCTCCTTCTCAACCCCAGGGATTCTAAACCTTGGAAATAATGAAATTTCCTTTTTTAGTGGGACTGTCCTATGCATTGTACTATGTTTAGCAGCATCCCTCCCCACTACCCACTGGATAGCAGTAGTACTCTCCTCCCCCAGGTTGTGACAACTGAAAATGTCTCCAGACTTTGCCAAATACCCCCAGGGTGGGGGTGGGGCGGGAATTGTCCCAGTTGAGAATCACTGATATACTGCTATGCCCAACTGTCTAATCATGGTAGGCTTCATCATTACTTTCTGATTCATCTTGACTGTTGGAAGTGTCACCGTGGTCATTCTCTTGGCCATGGCTGAATCACCTTGTTTTGTAATGTTTTCTGTGCAACCACTTCTTTCTACATGTCCTGCAGCCAGAAACAAAAGGTGAGGTGGTGAGCATTTTTTGCCTATTCTGTCACAACTCTTCTCTTATTTCTCATTGTTTTGAATAGCATCAATTTTCTGGTGATTAGCAATGATGCTTCTAGAACTATCCTCAGGAATCATGGCTCTGATCTTATCACCTTTCTCCTCTTGGTCTCTGGGCAGAGTTGAAATAAATCACACGTTTGTTTTCATTACTCTAAGTATATTCTTCATGTAACTTTATTGTCAAATCTTAACTGTGTGCCTTAAGAGGAAATCTGTCTCAGAATATAATGTAGTCTCTCCACAATATTTTTTCAAAATAATGTCATTCCATTAGGTTGTATGAAGGTAAAATTTGACCTGAAAATTAATTTAGGAATTTCCTTCCCCCTTTCATTTAGTAAATGCTATCTAAATTCTTGGCTGCAGAAAGAACCAGAGTATTGAACTAATTACTGTGACAGCAGTCGTAGCCTGTTTATTTGCTAGACCTAATACAAGCTCATCCAAAACCAAACTATAATAAATGTAAAATTCAGCACTATGCTGTGAGAGGTCAATTAGTACTTTTTATTAAAGAGCCCAACTTTCAAGGACAAAGATTATTGAAATTCTAGCTTGAAACCCAGTAAGTATGAATTTAAGGCAAAGTAAAATATTACTCATGTTGATTTTGAACAACTAGACAGACAGTATTTTGGAAGTACCTTCGTGATTCATATTTTGTGATGCTCTTTTTCTTACAGGGGACAAGATAGTTGAACAAATAAGAGCACAGATTGTGGGGTCAGAATGCTTCAAATTTCAGCTCTAGCATTTGCCGGTCAAGTTATCTTGGACCGATCATATAAAATCTAGAAGTCTCTTTTTGTCTCATTGGATAATAATAGAGCTAACAAGACTGGTCATTGTGAGGATTATATATTACAGCCCATGTAAACAGAGGACTCTGTGACTGTTCTATAATAAGAATTTAATAAATTGTAGCTATAATGATTTTGGTGAAGATTGGATTTTAGTTGATAATTTTGACAGGAAACCCATCCTCAACTAGCATAAGAAAAAGGAGAAGTGTGGAAGGTAGTGCTAGCTCCTGGCACAGAAAGTCAATTCCCAAACAGTGTCTTAAGGACTTGGTCCCTCTCCATTTCTTGGTCCAGCATTTCACTATGTTGGCTTCATATGTTGGCTTTATTCTTATGCTCCCCGTGAAAACTCCAGGAAATTCCAGCCTCTCCCTTTGAAGTAACTAAATGACTGCAATCGCTCCCCATATCCACTTAGATTCTATATAATGAGAAAGAACAAGCATTTTTTCCTGGTGGTTCCTGGAAAAATCAGAAAATTCCCCTTAATTGGGTCCATTTAGGCTATGTGCCCATTCCACTGCATTCATTGGAATATGATGGACCAGTTTGCTTAGGTCTTCTCACCTCCCCTGTTGGATGTGTTGGCAGTGAGGATAGAGTCCTATCCAGTCTCTGCACCAAATGTAGGGAGGGGTGGGCACCCAAATGGAAATAAGGGGGCTATTTCTGGAAGGGGATGGAATAGATAGGGGATTCAAGGAACAGCTATAATGGTGATATCATCAGTGAAAGTTATGTTTTTCTCCCTTTACTGTTCACTTGCTACATGAATGAATGAGAATGGCAGTTACTTATTTGTAAGGGCCTCAGATTATTGGCTTAGAAATTCTTCTTTTCTTTCTCCATGTGTGGTGATGGTGGTGGTGGTGGTGGTGTTGTTATTGTTATTGCATGTCTCCAATGATTAAATTTGAGGTGTACCTTTAGAGAATGACACCCATACCCTCTGACTAATATACTTTGCTCTGTGTCCATTCAGTACTACTTAGAAACTTCTCTAACTGCAAAAGCTAAGAGAATGCCACCAGAGTATGAAAATGAATCCACATCTGGGGGTTCTTCTATCACACAGTGCTGGCTCATTCACAGCACATCTGCTCAGGAGTCTGCATATATGATGCTCTCTTTTCTGTGTGGAACTCTGAGGGCTTCTGCCTGTTGGTTAATACCACCCAGCCTGCTGTCTAGCTGCCATTTTGGAGAATTGGAGTTTATTTTGTGAAAATTATCACGGAGCAACTGTGTATGCCAATGTGGCATAGAGGAACTTCATCAGGCTTGGAAAAGAGGTTCTGTGAGCTATATTCCTTCTCATTGGGAGGTTCAGCAAGTATTTCTAGTGCTCATTTTGCTGTTTGAAAGAAGCTTTTAAAGACATGGGAAGAATCAAGAAATGAGCCCAGGGGCATATATGGCTCGTCGTCATTTTGAATTTGAAGCAAAGTTATAGTATTAAACTGGCTTTTAATAGTTACAAAATTAACATCATTTATTCGTCAAATTTACGTCTCTTGTGCACACAGATAAATATTTTCCTATCATGCTGATTGAAGCACAAATCTTGGTATTTAAACTCTTAGAAGATATATGATTCTAAACCACTCATATTCAAAGCAGCTTTGTATTACAATTATATTACAAAGAAGCTTTGTATTATATTAAATATTAAACTAAATTCTCTCATTTTAAGTTATTGTCTTTTTTAAAAAAAAGACAATTATCTAATTCTGGCTCTTTCTGATTGTGAAAGTTCATTGTTTAGACCTCAGTTACCTCATTTCTCAAGTACTATATACATTGTGACTCCAATATCATGATTTATACATGTACATGTATATAAGAATACAAAAAAAGTAGAAGAAAATGCACCTAAGTGTTAAGAATGGTAATTTTTGAGTGAAAGATATAAACATGACTTACTTTTTATGCTTTCCTATGTCTTCTAAATTTCCTACAATGAACATCTATATAATTAGAAAAATCCTATTAAAAATGTGTAATAATAATTTATTATTTTAGTGTTACAAGGAATGAGTTTTTTCTTTGTTGTGTGAAAAACTTTGGGAAATTCAAAATTATGTATTTATTCTATGTTGTGCACTAGAATAAAATGTATTATCATTTCAATTTCAGGATATAAAATCTATAACCGACAGTATTAAACCATCATCTGTATCAAAATTTAAATGGAAATATGCTTGTACTTATTCACAATTGTTTTAAAAATAAATCAGTACCTATTTTTAAACAAAAAATGTTTATTAAAATAGGTGTATAATAGGTTTTGGCATCTTCAAAAACTTAGCAGTCATTTCTTATTATGTGTCTTTGTGTGTGTGTGTTCACTTTTTTATTAGTTTCATGTGTACAAAACAATGTAATAGTTAGACATTTATACCCCTCACAAAGTGATAACCCTCATCCCCCTATCCTTGACATTATATTATAGCTGTTACAATTCCATTGACTCTATTCCCTATGCTGTACTTCATACCTGTGACTATATGATTTATATATATATATATCAATATATAATAGGTACTGATATATATATATAAAATTATAGTTGACACAAGGGAGTATTACCCGGCCATAAAGAAGAAGACATCTTACCATTTGCAACGATATTGATGGACCTATAGAAAATTATGCTAAGTGAAATAAGTCAGATAGAGGAAGACAAATACCATATGATCTCACTTATATGTGGAATCTGAAGAACTGAATAAATGAGCGAACTAATCAGAAATAGTCTCAGAGATATACAGGAAAAACTGATGGTTGCTAGATGGGGGGTTAGGAATGAGGGACAAGGTCATGGGATTAGAAAGCACAAATTGGTAGTCACAATATTGCCATGAGGATATGAAAGACAATTTGGGGAATATAATTAATAATGTAAAGGTTTTGTAGGGGGTCAGATGGGTACTTGTCTTATTAGGGAGGCCACTTCATGGACAGCATAGATGCCTGACCACTGTACTGTACACCTACTGTACACTGAAGCTAAAGCTGAATAATTAGTACCTATTTTAAGTAATGAAGATTAAATACATTACAATAAAATTATTTTATTTTAATGTAAATATAACTTTACCAGATTTTAATCAAGTAATAACAGTTTAGAGATATAGATATACATATACATATACATATATAGGTAGAATATATACTTTTTATAACACGAAGGCATACTTTATGACATATAATCTTTTTACCACAAATATATATACTTTTCACATGTGAAATGAAACTAATATGACTAGGAAGACACCACTACCTGGGACCAGAGTAATACCTGTACAAATAGTTTTAACACTTGGCTTTAGAAACATCGTTATACAAATAAGCCATTTAGCTGGCATGTTTTGGCAGTGTGAACCAACAAGACACTGGTTGAACTGCACAAGTTCCTGACACTTGACAGCCACTGTTTAGCAAGTCTTTGTACAAAATATGGAGTAGCAAGTACAAGTGGACCACAGTTGCTAATAGCTAAATAAGCACAAACGCTGTAAGGCCCTTTGGACTCTGGGGGTTCGTTTTGAGCTCTGATCTTATCTTGTTCCTCTAAAGGTTTAACATATTCTAAATACCTTTACATGGAAATCAAAACTAACAGAACAAGAGGATGGGGGAGATGGCATTTCTGCCTGTAAAATTTTCCAAATCAACAAATTCGACCAGTTTCTGGCATTGTTCTTTAAGCAACCATCATGTATCTAATGCAAAATGTGGCAAAATGTTGCTTTGCTTTGTTTTGTTGCAAAGGAAAAGAGAAGCTTTTGTTCAGAGCATTAGAAGTCAATGCAGTCAGGCAGTCCACTCCCTTCTTAAATTTCTGAAAAGTAGCTGATGCTTATTTGGTAGTGAAATGCTATAGAGGAATGTTTCTCTTGCTCCTTTTTTGACAACATTACTTCACAGACGGACTTCAGCTGCGCTACTCAACCTCAACACACAGGGCAGGCTTCTTGGTGGATGAGCTTCCATTATCGGAGGGGCGGTAGGAAAGCGTGCTCATTTTTGTTGATAGGCTCGAGTGGGATTTGGCCTTCGGGGGGATGTATTTCAGAAGCTGGAGAAAATACTTTTTAAATTTTTTCCCGAGGAAGCCATAGAAGAGAGGATTAAGGCAATTGTTAAAATAAGCTATGCAAATAGTGATAGGCATGGCAGTGTCAACAATATCTGTAATTTTACAGTCATGTATGATGCCCAGCTGAATCAGTACATCCAGGAAAGTGAATATTTGGTGGGGAACCCAGGAAAAGAAAAAGAAAAGCACAATTGCCACAATTATCTTGAAAATATCATCATTTCTTGGCTTGTTCTTCTGAATCTCATAAGCCTTCTTTAGGGTCTTCCAAATAAGAGTATAACTTGTAAGAATGATCAGAAAAGGAAACAAGAAACCCAGTATATTCTTGGTTAGGCCCAGCCCAGCGGGAAGGGTTGAATTATGGAATTCGTAATGGAAAGCACAAACTGTGCTGTTGGTGTTCTCGATGATAAATACGTTTCGATGGATGATAGTTGGTAAACTGGCCAAGCCAGCCAGAAGCCAAATAACGATGCAGGTGACTTTGGCTACAAGCATTGTGCGCCGGAGGCGGGACTTCATTGGGTGAACGATGGCCACGTAGCGGTCAATGCTGAGACACGTGAGCAGAAACACACTGGCGTAGAGGTTGAAATTGACGCTGGCTGACGCAATCTTACAGAGGTAATTGCCAAAGGGCCAGTGGTATTCCATAGCGGTGTAGACAGCCCACAGTGGCAAAGTCAGTAAAAAGCATAAGTCAGCCAGGGCTAAATTCAAAAGAAAAATACTGGCCACGGTCTTCAGTTTCATGTAAAAGTAAATGACAATAACCACCAAGCTGTTTCCAAGTATTCCCACCACAAAGATGATACTGTATAAAGTAGGGATCATGACAAATATGTAATTGTGCCTTCCAGCTTTGGGACAGTCATCTTGGATTCTTTTAATACCATCTTCAGCGGAAGAGTTGAGGATCATTTTGATCTCCTGGGGTTTAATTAGTCTCAGACACTAATACCAAATGCACCTGAAGAAAAATAAAATGGAAAAGTAAAAAAAAAAAAGGAAGTTCCAGTTAGAAACAAAGTTTTATTTCTCAATAATAAATTCAGTAACTCAGCTTTAGTCTTAGGGGGAAAAAAAATTAGATCATCTTTTCTGGAGAAAAACTGTGACCTGACAAAGTCTCAATTACACATTTACTTTTTAGAACACATCGTTTTTTTAGGAAGCGATAATATCCTCAGACAAATAGAAGCGGGGTCCTCTGTGAATAAACTTATCTAGGTCCTTTGCCTTTTTTTTTTTTAAGAAGTAAATCCTAGTTTCCAAATTGATTTAAAAAACAATCTTAATCTCAGAAAACACTACTGAATTAAATTAATTATTCAGAAAGACTTGAAATTTTCCTGAGGTAAGCAAGGCTAATTAATTAATTTGTCTTTAACCTCAGAAGTGTGACACATTTGTATCTTATTTTTCAAACCATTTATCTCATCTCCCAATCTTTACTTAGGTATGAAAATTATTAGTGTCCCCCCTTAAGTGGTCAGAATAGCTGTCTCTAGGTGACAGGAGTTTGACAGAGGATTTGACAGAGGATAAGGAGGGCTTGGCGCTCTGAGGAACAGCATGGTTTTCCAGGCTGCTCACTACAGGCAGTAACCACTTACTCTAACTTCCAACTCAGTCTACCAAAAGGGTCTGCATTTCCTAACTTTTGTGCCTGCCAGCTATTTCTGGAGTTAACTTTAAGGTTAACCATTTGTATAACAAGGATGTCAAGTGAATAGATTAGGTCAGAATTATCAATAAATCATGTGGGTTTTTTGTTTGTTTGTTTTTTGTGGGGGCTCGAGATAGCAACAGTTCTTTAGGATTTTAGGAAGAATCGGATGCTTAGGAATGAGCGCCATAAAGACTAATGCAAATATTTGCTCCAATAACTTACATAATCAATAATTAAGCTACTCATTGATGTGATTTAAAAACATCAACAGATTCTGCCCTACACAAGGGTTCCTCAGAGAATCCTGGGGAAGGACACTAAAGACACTGTGAGAGAAGCACTGCAACATGTGGCGTAGGCACGCTCTGGGGAAGGTCAGCGCGGGCACAGGTGAGGCCAGGCAGGGCAGTGGTGCCGGTGAAGGTCCTACTGCTACGCCAGGAGCAGGTCCCTAACGAGCATGGCTGTACGTTCTCCTTATAGCAAAGCATCCCGGGCAGGATGAGGACCAGGAGTGACATTACTGGCCTGCCCGGGACAGCTGTTTGCATCTGGGAGAGCTGGATGAACACACGGGCCTAAGGTAGGGTAGGTACATCTTGGTGCAAAGTGCTGCTGTGAAAGGGATGAGACTCAAGGAGCCAGATTTTAAGAGGTAACTGGGAAGAAAAGGGTTCTTCAGTAGTTCCTTTGCCTCCCCCACAGAGGCTGTTATTGTCCCCACCTATGCTTTGACTTCATGTCCTCATTAACATCTCCTATTGCACTCAGCTTTACGTAATCTAAATCCCTTTCTTCTCATTCATGGGGACATTAGCATCTACAAACAGGCAAATATCCCATTCTCTGAGGAGCCTTCCAGACTTTTCTGGGCAATTGCCTGTTCCATTTTCTGAGCTCCTTTGGCACTCTGATGCAGGTTTTGACACTATATTATAATGGTCTGTTGACATATCTGTCTTCTCTGCTGGTTTGTCAACTGCTTGAGGGTAGCGCCTGTTTTCCAGGGTGGGTCCTGGGGGCATATGATAAATGTCTGCTAAGTAAGACAGTGAGTGGACAAATGAATGAATAACATAGAACTTAAAATCTAATAGTATAGACAATTGAGACTAATTTCTATGGGGTAATGAAATCAATTTCCATTCTGCTCCTCAAAGAATCTCATAGAAAATTCTCAAAGTCAACTTGGCCTCATCTTTGATGAGAAACCCAAACCCAAACCAAATCAAACCAAACCAGACCAAAAAAAGCCCTTGACACTTTAAGAAATCTGTGGTTTACAAACCAGAAGATGAAAAGAAGGAATAATTTAATAGAAACTAGGGCTAGGATCTCACAGAGGTATGACCTATTTTCTTCTAACCCAGATGGATTTCCCTACACTTTGCTGATTTTTCAGTTTATTTTATTATAATTACTGAAATTATGCCAAATTAGAAGTATAAATTCATTTCAGTAAATAAATATTTTCTATTAAAAATTGTTTCATGAAAGGCTTATGGGATAGCAGTCATTTATACCTTAATGTGGATTCATTTACTTATTTGCTCTGCTAACATCTCGTTGAGATAAGTTGGATTTTGCATAGGAAAAAATTGGAAATGTCAAGGTTAAAGAATCTCAAAGATTAAAACAGCCTGGGTGAACTCCACAATGAAAAACTAGGGCAGAGGTAAATATTTGTTTCAGTTTGGGCACAAGGGCACTAAGAGATAGGAAGGAATAAATTTGATGCATTAGGATCCCTCGGGTGTCCTGATCTTGGGTGCAGGGAGGAAATTACCCCCTCTCTTCGTTCCTCTCCTGACCCTCCTTTGAGAGCACACACCTGAGGTTGGGTTCACTAATCCTGTATCTAGAGTCAGTAGAATTTTATTGACTAGGCTGGAACTGTAACCATCATTTATAAAAAGAATTTCTATGGAAAAAAGTTTGCATTTGAAAGGCCCAATTTAGAAACAAAGTTTGGGACTCCAGTTTCTTCACAGCCTTGAGGTCAGCCTCCCCTTTAGCTCCCATCAATCCATACTGACTAATGTTGAACATGTAAAAGGTTGCTCTGAGCAGCTAAGGGAGCGTCCCTGGAAATTTCAGTGAGGCATTTTTTATTCTAATGGCTATGTCACTTGAGAAAGTCTGGACATAGCCCTGAATATAGTAATCCTAAGAACATTTTACGTAAATGTTTATATAAGTAATCACCAAGACTTCCTACCTAATAAGGAAACAAATTTCCTCATACTTGAGGGTGGAGGAAAGGGGGAGAAGAATTTCAAGTGATGGCAACAGCGGCGGCAGGGAGTGCAGAGAAGCAGAAATGCAAATAGTGCATTCTGTGGGTAGTCATCCATTCACCATCCTATATTCACTGAACACCTACTGTGTGCTGGGGTCAGGGATGCAGAGTGAGTAAAGTCATACTCCTTCTCTTCCACTCAAGTCTAGCCGGGGATACAGGAGCCTTAAAGACAGAATTATCTTGTGTGTTGGATAGTTTACCATACAAGAGGCCTGTGGAATGTTCTGTGTAAACCACTGACCCAGCCTGTGGTGTAGGGGTGATCATGGATACTTCCTTAAGAAGGTGGCATTCGGACTTTGGAGGGTATATGGGAAACAGAGTGGATAGAACTTAAAGGCAGCCAACCAGCTGGCCAGCCAAGGTGGAACAGAGATTATGTCATCACTCTCCCCTTCTTACAAATGCCTGCAGCAGCATCTATGGGAAACTGCTCCTGTAAATGTACAGACACTGCATAAGCGTCCAGGCAGGGGCGTGGGGTCTGAAGGTGCACCGGATGGGAGGGTAGTACAGGTCCTACTGGTGTGTAAGAGATAAGAAATGTCGTCCTCTGGCTTTTGTTTCCCTTTGCTTTTAGTATGAACATTTATGATTGCCCGTTTGATTTTTTCTTGTTACCTTTTGCCCCGCTTCACCCATTTCTTCCACTGATAGGCTTCCCTAGAGAAGCCTGCTTCTTAGGAAGGAGGGAAAACTGAACTTGGGATTGGCAGCCACCTTAGATGGATGATACATGAGTGGGAAAGAGTGGGGTTTTGTTTTCTTTGAAAGGATGCTGCTTTGGTGAAGAGCTGAGGAACAAAAGGATATGTTCCACTAGGCACTAAACTATGAGTCCCAGAAAGCTGCTACATTTCCATTTCATCCTGTTTCTTCTCCCAGTATGTAGGGAGGAAGGATACTGATGAAAAACTCAGAAGGCTGCACTTCTCCCTCTGTCTGGGTCTCACCATAGCCTTCACCCAGGCTCCGTGGGTTACATGAATTCTACAGCACCATTTTCTCTTGGGGGAAAGAAGTTGGGATTTGGAGTCAAAACACTTGTTATGGAATCTTCCTGTGCCACTTACAAATCTATGTACCTCTGGGTCAGTCACCTGACTTCTCTGAACATGAGCCTCGTTTTCTGTGAGACATGGGAACAATGACCTCATTGCACATGACTGTTGTAGGAATTAAATGAGATAACGGGAAAGCACTGGGCATATCTTTCCAATAGTAAATGTTTCATAAATGTGCTTTATTTGAATCTTTGCTATTGGTAATCTCCTGCTCTTGCTGCTAAAAGGCTAAAAATACTAAGCTATTGTTCTTCTGAAGTCTGAGTAAAAAATAATTGTAAGCAGCTGAATACATTTGCCATGAGTCAGGTGGGAACTTTCAGTCCGCTGCAAACACAAGGCTGGCTCATGATGGCCTCACTATGTTAATCTGCTGCCTGCTCCCCTGGGGGTCATCTGTATTCCTTGACAGCTTCTCCAGCTGTTAAAAACAAGCGTAAGAAAGAAGATTTTTTTCTTTCTTTTTTAATTCTAAGAATATTTCTCCAAGATTTTGATTAGAATATTAATTCCTTCTTAAGCTTTTAGGTAAGCCAAAACCAATCTAATAAAATTGTTCATTACAAGAGCTGTTTTAGATGTTTGCAATCCAAAGAAAAAAAAATACCCCAGAGTGTCCTATGATAATAAAGAGAGAACTAAAAAACCAACAATTATGTTTTAGAATAATCTTCTATCAAAATATCTCTCTCAAATATCAAAAAGAGCAGGCCAGTGTTTGTACATCATTTGCTTGGAATGCTGGACAGTTCAGTAAACCATCCTGTTCAAAAGTCACTCTCTTTATTGTTCCGATTTTATAATTCAGGCTTTAGACAGCAACCGCTTCTGCTCCTGTGTGTTCCCCCAATAACAAATGCGGCATTCTGTAGGGAACAACTGTTAGTCAGCATCCATTTGTGAACTCACTGAGTCATAGAAAGAGCACTAAA